AGAGAAAAACAAAGAAAAACATATCTATCATGCAGTCCCCAGGCAAGCTTTTAAATCATGTGTGTTATTGGGCTATCTCCAAACAAATAATAAGTACCTTTCCCCCATAAATTAGTAACATTAGGACACTAACAAGTAAAAATATGATATTTCTAGCAGTGCACATCTCATTATTCAAAGGACTGTATAACACTGATTCACACCAATTCAACAGACCGGCTTTGTATGCACATGCACATGCACGTACACAATTCTCTCTACAGCATACTGGCAGACCAGTCACTCTACCAGCGCTGTCTGATCAGAGCCTTACAAATGCTCCTCTCTCAAAGCAGACTGTAGACTTATTAGCTGCTGCCACGCCCTCCCACATCTGACCACCAGGCCACAAATAGATTATACCTGTTCTCAGATCATAACCATTTAGTTTGGAGTACCCAAGGTGCCTTCTCCAACAGTAAAGAGCACTTGTGGCTGAGCCACACAAACAGCTCTCTGGGCAACATTTCCATTGTACTGTTCTGTATGAAGCTCTCTTCTCTCCTTAGGAACAACTTGTAAGACCCAGTTTAGGAGCACTGTCTTTCAGGAGCATCCTCTCTCAAACGTCTCTAGTTAGACTGGTCCATGCAAGTTGCTTCTGACAACCAAAATCTCCACCCACCTCTCCCAGCATGGTGATCTGTGGGTCCAAGCTTTGTCAATGCAGTAAAGCAGATTTTGTCCCAAAGGAAGACATGTCCCTAACAAGACAAAGGCCATGCCCTTGTTGTATGGGTAGCAGCTTAGCTACACCTACCAGCTTCTCTTCCTGGTTTTTTTTTTCTAACATCACACTGTTCCTGAAATAACATCAGCATTCAGTTACCACTAATGGAAAATACTTCATCATTTTAGGGAAGGGATTTTATGATGGCTTTTACTGTAACAGCAGAGCCCTTGATTCACAGCAGTCACAGAATGCACCTGTATTACTGATACTAGCCCTGACCAAAGCACTGTGGGACTCCTGATCCTGGGAGTCTTCCCCACAGAGTCAGGGTGTATCCAAGGCACACAGTTGGGTCACAGAAACATTTTTTAGGTCTTGCAGTTTAGACATTGGCTCTGTGAAACAGCAGCTCCTTTCCATAGCTGTGTTCTCCCCAAAAAGCAATCCCCACACAGATGGGGACTGAAAAGCATGGGACGGCAATGTGCTGCAGCACTAGGATACTCCTAGTCATTACAACCTAAACATGTTACTGTGGCAAAAATTGTAAAGTCAAGCAAGATCCACTAGACTGTCAGATCACTGAGAAAATGTTTAATAGCACTGTTTAATATCTTCATTACTGACACACACAGTGGGATCGAGTGCACCCTCCACAAGTTTGCAGCGACACCAAGCTGTGTGGCGTGGTTTACATGCCCAATGGATGTGATGCCATCCACAGGGACGTGGAAAAGCTCAAGAATTGGGCCCATGGGACCCTCATGAGATTCAACAAGGCTAAGTGCAAGATGCTGCATCTGGGCTGGGGCGATCCCCAGCAACAATATAGGCTGGGGATGAACAGATCAAGAGCAGCCCTGCCAAGAAGGACTTGGGGGTGCTGGTGGATGAGAGGCTGAGCATGACTCAACAATGTCTTTTTGAAGCCCAGATGGACAATCACATCTTGGGCTGCATCAGAAGAAGCATGGCCAGCAGGTCCATTCTCCCCCTCTACTCTGCTCTCGTGAGACCCTGCCTGGAGTGCTGTGTCCAGCTCTGGGGTCCCCAGCACAGGAAAGACATGGACCTGTTGGAGTGAGTCCAGAAGAGGGCCACAAAGATAATCAGGATGGAGCATCTCTCCTGTGAGGAAAGGCTGAGAGAGCTGGGGTTGTTCAACCAGGAAGAGAGAAGGCTTTAGGGAGACCTTACTGCAGCTCTACAGTACATAGAGGATGCTTATTAAAAAAGATGAGTACAGACTTTTTTAGCAGGACCTGTTGCAATAGGACAAGATGTAAAGGCTTTAAACTAAAAGAGGGTAGATTCAGACTAGATACAAGGAACAAACTTTTTACAATGAGGGTGGTGAAACACAGGAACAGGTTGCCAAGAGAGGTGGTAGATGTCTCATCCCTGGACACATTCGAAGTCAGGTTTGATGGGGCTCTGAGCAACCTGATCAAGTTGAACATGTCCCTGCTTATTGCAGGTGGGTTGGACTAGATGACCTGTAAAGGCCCCTTCCAAATCAAACTATTCTCTGATTCTATGAAACTATGTGACAGGTGGGACACCAAAAGACTTCTTTCAGCAACTTGACCATTCCTCATCCCTTGGCTGTTCTCTAGCCTTCCATTCCCTTTCTGTTATGTCCAAACCAAATAAGTATTAGCCAAGTCTTAAATAGCCTGTTGAGGCTAATGAACAAGATTCTCAAGGCATAGTAGCATTTACCTCCCATAATTTTATACTTGTTTATGCAGTTTGGAAATCTATTTTCAAAGTCAACTCTTTACTGCTGCTGACACCTATCCAAGCTGAATGCTATAAAGAGGTAAGAGCTACTCACTTACTTCACTTTTTTAATAATGTTTACTCTTGCAAAAGAAATTTTGTTGTTTCCACAGGAGTTCATGCCAAGAAATCACTATTCCATGGGAGTTCATGCCTAGCAATTACTATTCAAAAAACATATCTTACTGGTATAATTCTTTTTACTTCACAGAAGTTTAAAAATACAAGTAAAGGTCATATGCTAATTTGACATTTCAAAATCACACTCAAACCTGAAGCTTCATAAAAGTAAGTTTGATTATGACACTTGATGTACTCTACATATAGGAGCAGCTTAAAATCACTTCTTTTTGCATTATGAACTGAGATTCTTTTGCAGTAAGACATAATTTTAAAAGGCTTTAAATAGTGGAGAACACCTAGCCAAAGCAACTTCTATCATTGTCCTGCTAAAATAACAACAGATGTACCAAATAACATACTTTCTGAAAATTTTTGAGCAATTGCAGTTGTAACTTCACCAAGCTGCCACAAAAAGAACTTAACAGATGAAAAAAACTTCTATTTCATCAATGTTGTTAGTAAAATACACACTTCACCTATTTTTCTTGGAATATGTGACACCAGAATAGAAAAGCAGAAAATCTCTTTTAAAATAGGGGGGAAAACCCTGTAATTTTTAGGAACATTTAAGAAGTACAAAATACCTAGGCTGCTACTTATCACATACACAAACATCTCATTACTATCCTGTATTCCCACATCCCTATCTTCTCCCTTGTTCTTTCATTTCTTACCAACTTTGTAAATTCTTCAGAGCAGGTTTTCTTTTTAATACAAGGCTTGACACAACAGAGGGCATCTTTCCACCACCAAAGTGGAATAAAGTAATAATATTATCTCTGTTATAATACTATAGATATTATTATTGTAGATAACATTTTATAAAAGAAAATTGGATCTTAAATTGTCCTGTCATATTAGCTGGCTTCACTCACTTTTTCAGGATGCTGCAGATTCTGCCTCAGAGGAATCCTTTCACAGACACTGAAAAATCTGATGGCTGGTTAGGAACGGCTGGGGTTTTGGACAGCTGGAAAAGTGTAAGAGGCTACTAAAATTATGAATTAAGCATAATGGGCCCATAATAATGTTTAAAAGATGACCCCAAAACTATCGACTGCTAATACCACCATGAGATTTCCAAGTTAGCAACAGACTTTCTCCTCCTGAGAAAATGCAATGGTTTCAGGTTGGCTGCAGATGTAAGAACATCACTTCTGTCCTATTCACAAGGCCTTCTTCACAGGCAGAGCAGTGGAAAAGCAGCAGAGCAGTTGTCTGAGGCACAATTTTGTAACTGTTTATGACAGGACTTGGTACGACTTAAACTCCAGTCTTCAACTTTTGACTTACAGTCTGAGAGGCTCAGTCTGGCTGCACAAGTCCTCTACATACAAACCATACCTGTGACGCTGAATGCCCAGTTGCTGGAATTAGCTGCTCAGCTTCTAGTTTAATGGTGAACACAGGGATGCCAGGTTGAGTTGAACTCAGTGATCTCAGAGGTCTTTTCCAACCTTACTGATTTCAGAAAGCCACAATTTGCAAAGGGACTCCACAGAAAGGAGAGATTAATAAGATCATCGATTTTTAAACAGCTTGAAGAAGGTAATTCCCTTAATAGGGTTCTGCTGCATAGCTGCAAGGAGAAAGGGAGTTTCCTGATCTCTAAGATTGTTGATCTCTTTCCTTTGTTTGCAATTAAAAGATAATCTAGAGTCATTCATAGCAGCAGATGTGGAACAGACAATACTGTCATTTCTTGGGCTGTTTACAGAGTACAAAGGGAAAACAATACACCTGCAACAGTTATGAGTCTCATACACTCATTTAGTACTAGATGAGACCAGCTTGGGAGGGCAAGGGAATTCTGGCTGGGATTGCAGAATCTGCAGGTAGGGAACACCTCGTAAAACTGAGAGCAAATAAATAACTTTCTATCCCTTCCAGCTGTAGGTAAGGTTGCTTAGGTACTGACAGTTTAAAACGCAGACTAAATAAAATCATGCAGCAAGAAATGTTTTCCCTGGTAACTACTTTCAGTGTTATGTTATTTACTTATTTCGAGTATATGTTTAACTGCTGGGGGAGGGAGGGGAAAAAAAAAAAAAACATTTTCCTTGCCTTGTTAACTCCACTGCTCCAACAGATAAAACATGAAATTGAACAGTAATATAGGAACTGGGTCTACAAATGACACACAAGGTTTTATTTTCATTTTTATTACAAAATTAACAAAAAATAATCTCATAACATTTAAAGTTTAATTTTAAAAAGTCTTCACAGGTCATCAGACTAGCAAAAGGAAAATTAAGGTAAAGAAGGTATGTAATGCATTTTGTTCCCCATTATAAACAGTCAGGACTCAGGAGCTTGCCATCAGGAAAGTCAGCTGGTCCAGCACTTCAGCCTCTAGTGCTGCAAATGAGTCAATGACAGAGGCTTCATTACATTTTCTTTTTTATTTTTCTAAACAAATCTAAACACAGCAAAGGAGACACAAAGTGTACCATTCTTTTAACAACAACAAAAAAAGAAGGGTCATCTTTATGTTAGCTGAAAAATACAGCTCACTGGCATAGCTTTTTAATGTTCCAAGAACATAAAGAAGGATAATTTTAAAAATACATATAATCTGTTAAAAGGTCAGAATTCATAAGACGTTGAGACAGATCATTTACAATGTGTTCAAAAATTAACACCATATACAAAAAGATATAATTGCCAGCATTTGTAAAAGTATAATTTTACATAGAATGTGGTCAGCCAAAAATTCATGTGCCAATTAACACAAGCACTGCTCCTTTTATTTCCTCTGAGATAGACAGACAGATACAAATGCGAGAGGATACACTGCCTTCATAACTATTTTAGTTCAAAATCCATTGTTTTGCAAAAAAACAATCTTCTTTAAGAAAACATGCATAATTCAGAACTGTTTACTCCCACTGACACTCTTTAAGGAGTCATTGTCATTCTTTAAAAATAATACAAGTGCTACATTATAGCACTTGTGACGTGTTATTAGCTCAGATTTAATAGCTGCAGTGAGAATACTTTAAAATATCTTTTCCTTGAGGTTTGAAAAAAAAAAAATAAAAATGGGGATGAACTTGCATTCCAACATCAGTATTTAAATATTTTCAGGTCATCAAAATAAGGACCACCATGTACAAATGGAGATACCATTAAACAGATATCCTGTCACTTCAAGAATTTTAACTGAAATGCAATTGGTTTAGTTCTGTCACCTTTAAGTGAACCATCAGTAATAAAGATAAGTTCAAGACACCCTGGGAAAGCACAGAATTTCAGAAGATATAGATGTATAAGGCCCAGATCAGTTTTCCTTCTGCAAAAGAGTGAAATAATCAATGTGCTGAAACTTCAGGACCTCGTTTCCCCAGCTGGTCCAGCCAGGCTGGAGGTTGCGAGCAAACAGCTCCAAGCATTCCACATCTGGCTTGATAAACTCTGCCAGAACTGCTGTGTAAGAGAAAAAAAAAAAAAAGAAAACAACAGTGACAATGGTACAAATAACAATAGTAAACACATAAAACCTCCCCTGTGATGCTAGTGGATGAAAAAATGAATGTTTCATTAAAAAAGGGAGAGACAGCAAATTAATTTCAGGGGTTTCATCAAACAGCTGGACTATTTATAGTGAGAAAGTAATTTTAAATAAGTGCCCTTGAGATTCTGAACAATACTGTCAAGGCCTTCAATAGCCTTGATTTATTGGTTTTCATTTAGAGAAAGGGAATGAGGATTTATTTCAGCCTCTACATAGACGAGTTCTGAATTTTTTACTAATATCAACAAACAGCTCCTATAACACGGGTAACATTTCTAAAAATAAATAAATAAATAACCCCTTTTCTTAAGATCACACTCTTTTCCTTTGCACCTTAAAGGGGATAAAAGTATTTTTGTGATGACTGTTAAGAGGTAAAATAAGAGGCACCAGTTAAATAAGCATAGCACTAAAGGGCTATAAGAATGCAAGCACTACTTTTTCCCCAATACCAACTTGGCAACAGAAGAGATATTTATATAACTCTGTTCTTTTATTCAGTAACATAAATCTCATATTTCTTTTACAGTTGGGCATTTTTACTGCTTAAACCCAAATAAATAGATGCCTGTCATCAACATTAATGATGTAAATGTCATGGATTATGAACGGCATTCTTGGAGTGACAGAAAAAGATCTTGCATTTTGCTTGAAAAGTATTACTGCAAACATTTTATTGCTAAATGTTTGTCATACAAAGCCATTTAGTCTGTGGCTGGTTCAAACAAATCCTTAACTAGGTTTCACAAAGTTATTGCATATAAAAATATGCATGAGAAAAGCAAAGGTTTAAGGAGTACAGAACACAGAGAAGGTAGAAAGACCAAAAAAATCTTAAAAACCTTACCTATACTAAAAATTATATGTTAAGTTTTTGGTTTTGTTACTGAAGACAAAAGAAGAAAAGTTATGAAAACATTTCCAAAGGATATTTTGGTGATTTTTTATTAGATCTCCCAGCACTTTCTGAATCTCTGCCACTTAAAAATACAACTCATTAACCCATCAGTATGCTGCCTGATTCAGCCTCTTCAGGTATGATCACTGCAGATCATAACAGCATACACATCCAATCAGCATACACCAAAGTATGAGAGGCAATGCTTTTTCTTGGTTTATTTGGTGCAATCCAAGTTCTGACTCTTTGTAGGAAGTTTGCCTGTCACATACTGCCTGTGTGAGACCCCAGCTGATCAGATCATGGATTGCTCCTGTTGCAGAAAAGATGAACATCTACTTCGCTTTCTATTGTTAGCCAGGCCCAGATGCATTTCCTACCTATATGATCACCTCTTAAAAAGCTTTAATATGTTCAAAACCTTTTCGTAAATATTCTGTAATGGGTGTTTCCAGGCTTTCTTGTATTTTGGCTTGGCACAAAAATCTATTCTCCTTCTCCCAATGTTTAACAAATGTCACATTAATGTCTCAGATGGGTTATCATCAAGGCAGCTTTTAACCTAAAAAACACTGCTACCAGCAGGAATTTTATTCCAAAAACCTGCTTCTTTTAGAGAAAAGTTAAAATGCTTAAACAAATCTAACATTTGCAGAGAAGTCTGGGAAGTTTAGAGGAAAATGTACATTCTGACAGAAAACTTGCTGCACTGTTTGGTGTCATGAGAGTTCATCTAATTAAACACGACTTATGAGTAACTTTTTATACCATCTTGCAAACCCACCATAATAAAAGAAAAAAAGTGGTAAAGTTTACTGTTCTTCTTCCAGCTCCATTTAGATAAGGATTTCTTGTGCATCATTTGCTGTCAACATGATGAGAGGGCTCAAGCACCTCTGATAGGAGGACAAGCTGAAAGAGTTGGGGTTGTTCATCCTGGAGAAGAGAAGGCTCTGGGGAAACCTTATTGTGGCCTTTCAATGCTTAAAGGGGGCCTCTAAGAAAGATGTGGACAAACTTTTTAACAGGGCCTGCAGCAATAGGACAAGGGGTAATGGTTTTAAACTAAAATAGGATTGATTCAGACTAGATATAAGGAAGCAATTGTTTACAACAAGGGTGCTGAAACACTGGAACAGGTTACCCACGGTGGTAGATCTTAAAATGCATAGGTTAAAAAATATCACAGCACTAAGTTCAGCAACCAAAAGCAGTTTCAACAAGCACCAAAAACTTCCATGCCTAAAAGGACAAATTTGAAAAGCACACATCAGAGATTCAACCACCTTCAGAGACTGGTTCAGCAAAAAGCAGGTAGCCAAAAAAACTGATCAGTTCAGCAGAAGCAGGAGGCATGTCACGGTATTTCTATCAATTTGGTTATAGAATTTAAAGAGGAAGTCCCAGGAACCTCCCCCTCTCCTTCTGCCAGTGAGAGGATCTTTTTAAAGTTAGAGGCTTTTTAAAAAAAAAGAGAGACATATTACATATAATTCGAGATCACATTATAGTATGATTTTTCATTGCTAGGTTGTAGGCATTTACATAATCACATCAGGCAGTAACTTGCACTGCAATGAAAATTACCATATCAAGAGGGCTTCATTTTGTTGTCTTAAAATCTCATTACATTGGTTTCCTTAAAATAAGAAAAGTCAGTGTTCAAGTTACAAATTATGGCTTTTTTGTTAGACCTTTTTAAGACTGGAAGGCTAGCTTAAACACAGGCATTTGACTTGCAGCCCTCAAGCAAAACCCTGGAGTTTTTTTCCTCTGAAAACAGGTTAGAGGAGCTACATCAGCAGAAAGATTAAATATTAAGTTCTTTTACCACAAGAATAAATTGAAAAACAAAATCCACCACACAATTACTTCTATCCACTTACAGATACCACTGACAAGAAACAGCTCAAATAAATGATAAACAGACTATTCTTTATCACTTACAGGTGCCACAAACACTATGACAGCAACTCAGGCACTTATATTTGGGCATGACATGATGCTAGCACAAAGCTAGCTGGTAGGCATAACGCTGGTCTTCCAGAAAACCCTCTTCATTCTGAAGTGCAATCCAGCAGACACCTGCCATACCTGCTTACTCTTAATCCCAAACATGTATTGAAGATGCATGCTGCTAAAAACGTTTAAATAAGAAAAAAGAGGAATGATTTCTGAAACAAGCAACAGTTTCCCCTTATGTTTTGGACTTCCACTGCCCAAAAGGCAAGTTCTGTATTGACAAGTTGGATACATAAAGTGAAAATGACTCTCGGCTTTTCACTGCCTCATCAGTGAACATGCAAAGCACAAAGCACACAGCTGAGCTCATTTTAGAATAACCCTTCGAGAGAGTTCACTATGCAGAGGTTCTTATGCCCAGTTTGTCTAACCCCTGAACAGAGTAACACCAGAAAAAGAACTGAAACTCGGCACAAAGATGGCTTCACACATCTGCATCTCTCCTAAGCTTCAAGTTCAACTCAGATGTTGATGCACCTATCAGTTAGTCTAACAGTAAGGGCTCACAAGGCACATAAGGAAACAAAAGGCATTTATTTTCTTTTTAGTTCCAAGGAAACTTTTGTAACACGGCCTAACAAGCTAGGCTTGCTACAAGAGGAGGGAGTTTCCATGACTTCCCATCACATTGTTCTGCTGAGGATACGCAGAGTGGCTAGAACACAGCCAAGAATTATTTCCAGTGTTTTTAGACATACTCCTATATAACAATATCATTTTCTAACAACATATGTACATACTTAAAAACTGAAGGAGAAATGGCTGTAACAAGAACAACCTATAATATAGGAAAAGGAAAAAAAGGTGATGTGAAGTTATGTAGAACTTCATCCATCTGTGTAACAGAATGTCTTTTATGCCTTGTATAAGAGCAACACTGAACTGAATTAGGAAGAAAACCTGCTGTTATCTGAATCGAAACCTGGAGTAATAAAATTTGATTTTAACACATTTGCATAAAGCAGCTTAAGTACATTTACAATGACATATTAAAGCTCTAAGCATCGAACACAGCACATGCATCACCAAAAACCCCTACAGTTGCAATTTCATGGTTAAATGCTCTGTAGGAGCACAAACACGTCTTTTTGACGGCTTACTTTAATTTACATCTTTCTCTTCCCCCAGGAGAGATAAACTGTTATAATCAGTCATTAAGTGGTTACATATGCACCAACATACAACCGTTATTGTTGTAAAAAGAAACAAAGTGCCAGACACCATCAGTAAATACTAATATTTTTGGCTTTGTTACCACTTAAACAAAGCATAAAGAATGCGTGTGACTCATCAAGTGTCCTTCTCGCCCCTTGCCAAATCTCTGCTTCTGCTCAAATTTCTTCTGAAACCCTCTAGGATGTAGCTTAGCTGCTCTCTACTGGCCGCTCGAGAGTATTGTCCAGTCGTAAAAGCAACACCTGGCACAGCACTGAAGTCAAAGCATCAGCAATTAGCTTTTGCCTTATGGTCTACCTTTTCATTACATAACTGTACTCTGAATGGAGATGTCAAAAAAGGTAGGATACACGTGGATTTTTATAGAAACCTTGTAAATCATTGATATTTGCTCCACAGCAAATTTATTTTTTCAGAGAGAAATATAAATGCTGCACAATATTATCAAATCCCAGCATTCAAGTAAAAACCTCAAGAAACACACAAAAAAATTAGCACAAACAGTTTCTTTTAAAATCCATTCAGGATCATAATTTAAAAAGGAATCCCAAATGCAATTTCTAGATTCTGCCCTACAAAAGAATTGTTCCACAGACTATTCCGGCACTAGAATTTCCTGCAACACACACAAACAGTTGTTCTGCACCCTCGGATACCTCTCAAGTTTCCTGTTTGTGTCTGACTTGGCTGCTAAGTATTGGTTTGCTGAAGAGGCCCTAGATGACAGCCTCACAAATCACCACCCTACTGTTCATTACCTTAAATCAACACATACAGTTCCTCCTCTAGTCTTAATTCTTAAAGATGTGGCTTCAGAATCAAAAAGATCCTCCTAGTATAGCCTTTCTTCTTTTCTGTTTTTAGCTAACCGAAGTATGTCCCTTCCACTAGTTTTTGAACAGGTATATATATGTTAATTTAATAAATACAAGATCCCAAAAATAAATTTTACAGTGTCCCTGAACATAAAACAATTTTCCAGATCAGCATCCTAACTGAAGCTGTTCTATTCCCTGGGAACAGAAAAAAGAAAGCATGTCAGTGAAGCAAACTGTGACACCTCTCCCCTTCAACAGCATTAAACATTTCTTCTACCTGCCTTTTCTGATGTGACTACATAGCACCATGTGCACCTGGAATATTTGCAGATTCATCATGAGCTTCCCTCCTGTGGGAGGATGAAACCATTTTTGTGAAATGTATTAAATGCACTTCTTACCATAGCCTTGCAAGGTGAAAGAAGTACAACTTCCTACTGACAAAATTATAGTCAGAGTGCTCCAGAACAACATGCAAAACGTAGCAACATATCACATGGAAGTCTTCAAATTCTTTGGACTAAACTCCGAAAGTTGGATTTATACCCAATTAACTGGCTGGCTGGAGTTACTGCATCAATTTCAGTAAATTAAATACAGCTTCTCAGAAAAAAGCAGGGCCTGCCTATTTATTGCCTATTATTAGCAGTCTTAAAATAATTACGGTTTTGGATTTAAAGGCATAATTTTACTGCAGGCAATTCATGGAGAAATGAAAACTTTTCCTTCAAGATGACATAATAAAGGAAGAGTTTTCTGCTTTTATTAACTAAGTAGAAGATATCCTATTTTATATATTCCCAAAGTTTTCTCTCCACAAGGGATTTTAGATCATTTGTCATAACTTCATA